ATTGCCATACGCTCATTCCCAAATGTCGAGCTCGTTCCGTTCTGCTCATTCCGTCCCAATTATGAAGCTATTCTGTCCCGATGCCATAGAATAGAATAGGAAGAGAAAATCGTTAGCTGGAACAGAAACATCAACAATTCCAACAGCACAATCTCAGGGCTGCGACGTAAGCAATAACTGCTCCTTTGGAGTTTGAACTTTCCAAATTGAATTCTTTGCAAATGAAATATTTGGCAACTAACAGCCACGCAATTCAAAACCAGCTTGTATGAGTTGTTCACGAATGTTATGTTTCGGTTTTGGATGTGGTAGTCCCGATGGAGCATTATACGCTGATCCGGTATCACTTCCAGCATCTGGACTGGGACTGTGCAACTGCGTTGAATTGTTCGACGAATCTACAATTCAGATCTTTCATTCCCCTACTTAACTTCTGATGGTTTGAAATTATATGTGCAATGAATCTGATCTAGACTGATCAAATACAAAGATATGATGGATTAAAACTATTACGATTGAGGAATTACGGATCAACTTTGAAGCAAACAATCTGAAGTTCTACTGAATCGATTGATCTGAGACATCCGTTTAGAAATTTGGTATTTTTCTAGATGTAATAGACATCACAAGATTTTACTGCATGTTCCGAAACATGATACCATTTTCGTCATTCAGAATGCATGGAACACTTTTGATAAAAGATATTTCGAAGAAATCTATCATGCATTCGGACGTTCAGAGAACGCAGTGACGACTATATGGAAATTCAAACAATCCGATGACTTTGCTCGACGTTTCGTCTTGCAATCGTATATGTAAATTATTGAACAATGAAGATTTTGTGAATGATTTTGATAGCTGAAATGCGCAATCGATTGCGAAGTGAATGGCAGGTGATGATACCTTTACGACTGGTTGGACTCAGTGAATTAAGGTCATCAGTTGGAAAGCGTGCACATCCACCGCTACGAATCACGGTGTACTGTTGGTGACTGGTGGTCGTCGTGCTAAGTTCAGCAACTGCATTATCGAGAGCTGAGAAATTCGGTTGTTTGGCCGATTCATTCGCCTCTTTGTTCTTCTTATGTATCGTTGTTGTTGTTTCATTCTCGCTTACATCGATTTGGAACGATGCCTCATTCTGCTGATTAATATAAGATAAATTACTGAATGACAACATCCCCTGAACAATAATCAAATTTACGACGGTTAGTGTGATTCGAACAAAAATCAGAAATGATGACACGTTTTTAATTAGTCAGTTCTATTCAATACCATATATCCATTTGAACTAGGCACGGATCGTTGAGTGAAGAATCGATCAGTTAATGCTGATGGCGATGACGCAGAATTACTGGATTGGATTGTCTCCTTGAGGAACTGTGCACGACGTTCAGCAATTCGTTCACCACGCGAATATCTCATCTCCATACCGCGTTGCATGTCCAACGATTCATGTAACATCTCTAGTCTTTGCGCTGCATTCAATTGGCCTGAAGGTCGTTGTATTGATCCAGAATCTATAAAAACACTCTTTTTTTGCTCTATACTCATATATCTACTTTAGAAGTTGACCAAATATGAACGTTGGAGAATATTGTTTTCGTTGATGTTATATTCTTCATTCATGAGCGACGTGAAACGAGAAGGTTCTCACTGCACTCGCATTCAAAGCAGCAATTCGAAATTGATCATTCAATTTCCTAATGAAAGTAATTTCCTGTTACTTATTTCGAGTGAAAGCTAGGCAAAGAACTGACTGCATCGTTCTGATATTATGCAGAGCCCATTTTCGCATGAAGCTTCTTTCCATGTGCTTAGCCCTTATCGCTTGATATTCAGTGAGCAAACTGCGCATTCGGAAACTATTCATGATGAGCATCTCGCATAGGAAGTTATTTTTGTTTCGCGAAAGAATCATCCGTTTCAATCAAACTGAGTATAAACCGACCCAACCAAAGTCGAAGTGGATTTAATCAGGGCTCAACCAGAGTTGAACTCGACGATGCTTATTGATTTGCAACAAAAGGAACGATCAATTTATCTTGATCAGTTTAACACACAGCGACAGTAAAACTCGCATTTGCTGTAATATCAAGCGAGCATATTCATTCGAGTAAACGCTGCACAAGTGCAGTGCTGTTGTAATGTTCTTCAGAAACGTTCATTTTATCGTTTAACTCTTTAATAGCACTAACTCGAACTATTGCGAACAGTTTCAGCCCAAAAATCGTTCAGTTCTTGCCGGGAGTTCTTTCGACTCGATTCTGACGCATCAGAAACGGTTCGTTCGACTGCATCAACCGCATCAGCGAGCAATGAATTATTTCTGGAAACAATTCAATCCGATATTATCACTTTATTCAACCACTCATAAACAGCTAACAGTTTCTTCGAAATGATGAAATAATACTAGGTGTGAATAAACTTCAATTAACCGATATGAATGAGATGATGGATTCTATAATCAAATAATGAAAAGATTCGAACTGGAACACTGAAAGCCATAAAATGACTGATCAAAGAAATTTTGAGCATCGAAAGACACTGGCGAAATTTGAAATCAACTTTCCAAATTCATACGACAAAAATTTTCATTCACCTTAGATACTTATTTTCACAATCGAACAAAAGCATAGGAATGATCTTTCCAAATTTTTGCAGCAGATACACATGGATGAAGAAAGAAATAATTTATCAAGAAATTTGAAATGTTGAATGTTTGCAACGGGTCAGTACCTTGAATATGAAGAAGACTGAGCAGATCGTCTTCCCAGCGTCATACTTCCTTGACTGGCTGACTTCGAGAGGCCACCGCCACGTCTTGGTAGTGTCAACGAACCATTCGTAGTGAAGTCATCGAAACGATTAACGAATTCATCGAGCAGATCGTGATTGCCGAATCGGTCACGCATCGTTGAGAATGACGAGTGCCATTCCTTTGTCGACTTCGACATATCGTCGTCGTACAAATCACTGAATGTACTCTCCAGTAAAGCGTCCAAACTCGAGATATCAAGTGGTTTTGTGCTCGTTTTAATGCGTGATTCACATCCAATACCACCGCGAACACCGCTCAAACCAGCTTGTTCGTAGAACGAGCGATCTAATGATGACGGTGATAGCAAGTCGATAGTGACACGGTTGCTGTGATTACTGGATGAAGTTTGATTGGAACGAGATGAATGCGATTGCGATGAGGACGACGTCTTGATAGGTTCTTGATTGGCTTGCGAAAAAGACTGCTCTGATTCGGGGGGTTGGTGGGAGTGATGATGGTGGTGGTGGTGGTGAGAGTAGACGTTCAGAGGTGACTCGGGAACGGTCGGTTGATTCGACGAATACCTCGAATAGCTGGATCGGTTGTTCGAATCGGTTTGGGTCGTGTCCGAATAATCACCGATCAATCGATGGTAATCGTGATGATCGACTGATTTAGACTGATTAACTGAACTGTCCGATTTCGGGATACTTAGTTCAACTATTGGATACCGTTGAATTTTTGCTGGTGTTATTTTGGTTGAGGTGGATTGCGTTGACGGTGACGACGTGATCGTAGTGTTGGGAGTGACAGCGCCTGGACGATACGTGAAGCGTTCCACTTCCCGCTGCTCGGTGCAATAGACCTTAATTTGGCGATAATATCAAAATTATCAGTTCACATAATTCATTTTTGTGTCAATCAAATTGTTGTCGACTTGGCAATCGCAGTNCTTCAGTTGGTGGATTGCTTAAGAGGCGTACCACTGACAACAAAGTGAAACTATCAATGACAATAACGAGACTAATGAATAATTCAGTGGAAGGAAAGAAGAAAACAAAGTGATTCACTGTCAACTGCAATTAAAACACGAATCGATTGATTAAATTGAAAATCGATCACGATTCCTGTTATGGTTGCATAAGCACTGCTCGATTCATTACGAAATATGGAGAATGACTGTCGAAAGGAATGAAACATTCTCTGCAACATATCATGCTCCTCGTTCAAATAGAAACTCAGTGAAACATTGCCGTGTGAAACCGAATTCGTTGAATACGTCTTCAAATAGGAATTCTGTCAATGTTCATGAACAAATGAAAACGATAATGCATTTCAAAGCAGTCATCACCAGCGATAAACATTCCACTAACATTTATGGCAAATACCTCTGTCAACAAACAAACAAAACAGCCTTTTAATGTTAGCTTTCCATTTCAGTTTGTGTTAACAAACGAAGAAACATCAAGGAATATGTTTCATATTATTATTGTCATCTTCATCACACAATATGTTCACCATCAACCATAGTTCCACATCACTTCAATAACACCTCGTTGCAAAGAGAAGAATCGAAAACGCACCATGAGCAAGGAATAATCAAGATATTTCGATTTGATGATCATCACGTATTATCAACTTAAGCTAGAGTTAATTGCTTGAATCAATCGATTCACCATTCAGATATTGAATCAATCATGTTCAAATAAGCAGATCAGTGCAACATGGAAGTAGAGTTGTACGAATACAACTAAAGAAGGATTACCTGCGGTTTATTGAATGGAAGAGTGGAGGAATTGTAATGTGAAGAATTGGGTATTGTGCACGAATACGTCGGCAATAATCGCTGATTAGTGCTGACGTTATTTGACGAAGAAGAAGAAAACGAATGAGGAGTAGTGCAGTTAATGGTGGTAGGGCTGTAAAGATGCTGAAGACGTTGAGCTGATTGCTGGTGTTGTGAGGGTATTGGATAGAGCTGAGGATGATATGTACTCGAGGATGAGGATTGCGATGCAAATTGAGATGATGACGTACGTGCTGGTGTTGTTACCGCTGCTGCAGTTGGGTGATCTGAAAGTTGGCTTTAAAATTGATGTGATTGTTGTTGAGTTATATTGAGGTGAGTTAGGTTGAGATAAGTGATGCGGAACTTGCTGATATTATATTATTATGTTGTTCGATAGGTTGTTAGCACTAGATCCATCCATCCATCCATCCGAATGCAGTTGTTCGGATGGATGAATGGATCCAGTGCTAACGTTTTCCCTAAATTTTCCTTCATCAGCACGTTAACTTATGTGTATGTCTGCGCTTTGTTGATATATGTTACTTCTAGTACACAATGGATCCGTTCGTTTGTCGACGTATCACCTCCTCACATCCTCATCAACTCATATCCTGCTATATCCAACTATTCACTCATCCTCACAATAAGCTTCATTCAGCGGCCCAATAGTTTCATACATCTGCAACAACAGTTCGTTCAACTGCTCAACTCCTACTCACAGTCATATCACATTAAATATTTAGTATGCACACAAGTGCATACACAATTCTCTTCTTCTTCTCCTTCTCACTTCTTCACATTATCAACTCATTTAACACCATTTTTTAAACACCGAATCTCGTTTTCAAATTTGTTAATCTCTAATTGCATCGGTTATTGCGCACTGTATGCGGTGCTCCATTTCATCGTTCAGCAAATTGTACAGTTTTGGATCGCTCTTCAATTCTTCGATAGTACATTCATTAAACTGACACAAAAAATCCGAAAAAAAACTCGGTAGAAAAGAATTATACAATCGAATTTCCAAACAAAAAGCATATGCATCAACGCAATTCTTCATTGAAACATTCGAAGTGTGCAAGAAATGATTGTGTAATACAATTGTATGTTAAAATATAATCAATATATAATATAATTGTACAATGAAATATTGCACAATAATAGTGATAGTTTTCATAAAATAAAATAAAATGTAATAGAGTATAATATAATATAATATAATATAATATAATACTGAATAATAGAATACAATACAGTTCATTCTTATTTGACCATAAGTGGAAGCCGTTTTGACCATCATATCATTTGACCATCATATCATTTATATTTGACCATAAGCAAATCATGAATTGTGTAATGTAGTGGAAGCCGTCTGTATGATTCAGATTTGAACGCATTGAAACCCTGCTACATTCAAAAGAGCAAAAGCCAGAAAATTCCAACTGATTTACTGAATATGCATCTAGATTCCATCATCGAGAACAAATATACCCAACAAGCATCACCTCATCAGAGAAGAACTGGTATTTAACAGGCGTAATTGGAATAGTGAATAAGACGCAATCAGCACCGATGGAGAATCAACGAATGCTTTATCGTATCCTTTTGTTTTTAATGTAATTCAAATATCAACTTCTTATATCTCATCTAAAATGAATCTTTGACGTAATCGTTACAAGAACCTTATCGTTATTACACTTATATTGACGTAGACGGTTAACGAGCTTTGCAAAACTTCGGAATACGTTAAAGCAGGATCGCAGCCAAAAATCACATTCGGAACTCAGTTAATATGAAACAAGCAATTCCTGTTCTATGAATCTGTCTGAACACGAAATAATACGGCCTTAAATATCGTTTCAATCCGAACGAAATCCTTTTTTTGACCTCGAAAAAGTTCAAAACTTTTCAGCAACCAATGAAATATACCAAAGGCCGGAGTGAATCACATTGGAATCGTCTATTTACATTTTGTTAGTTTTTTAATTGAATTTATGCTTTGGAAACGCACGATCCCACACAATCCTGATCAAGGATTATGATCAACAAAGAGAAAAATATCCACTGATCAGTGCAGATTACGCAAGCTGAATCATCAAATTTTTGCACTGAACAAGATCGACGAAGAACACGAGCTCAATTATCATGAGTACCACGCAACAATTCACCAAGAGGAGATCTGTTCCTCGATGTGTCACTAGGAAAGTGAAGTGCGGAGTGATTAAAAACGAAAACATATGTTAACATGGATCACACGTGAGCACGATCTGTAACTGTTTTGAGTCATTGCGATAGCACAAAACTCAGAAAGGTACCTCGCAAACCGTCTTTAATATTTTCAGTTCAGCGTGTACTAATGAAACGCAATGCGACCATATCAAATACGAGTTTAAAAATGTCCCTTGAAAGGCGATCATTTAAATGAACAAACATAAGCTTATCGAACCGTAATAATATGTAAAGCGAATTTATTTCGTTTATGCTGCAAGAACAATTGAATGAACACGTAATTATTCAAAAAATAGCTCATAATTGAATGAATCACCTTTTTGCTGATATTTTAATGAATTCGGCAACGATGACGAGTACGATGTTGAGGATGGCAAATGAAGTGATAATAATGATTCAACTTCACTCAGAATATTTGACGCGTCGTTTCCCGTTGAGTCAAAATAACCAGTTGTAGAAGTGTTACTGTGTTTATCAGTATTCGAGTGATAAGTTAAACTTTGATAGTTTTGTGATTTTGGATGTAACGTTGAGTATTGATGAGTTGTTGATGGAACACTGCTCAGTTCGTCGCGATGCTCTTCTATGGAATATAAATCTGGCTCATCAAACGATTCACTTACTGTAATATTAATGTAATCATCGTTGTTGACATACTACAAATAATATTTCCTTCAAAGNCGAAGTAGTATTCAAAACCTCAAAAATATGTTGGGTAGATTGAAAATTTCGTTTTTCACTTGAATGAAGCAAGCGATTCAAGAAAGGGAAACGAAAAACTAACAGGTGCGAGATCTGGCTAATTTTGACTTGCGTAAACGCTCTTTATACTCGTCAGGAACAAATGGAATAGCGGTTTCAGGTCTGGGCCTTTGAACTGGTGTCGCACGGGAGACACTTTGGAAGTGGGATTGACCTGTGCTCGCCGGAGGAGTGTCGTATAGAACTGGTTGTGTTTTTGTATTGCTCACTTCAATTCAGACGTTCATCAACAAGTTCAGTGAATCATTTCAAATGCTTCTTTCATTTATGAAAAAATTATTATTTTTAAAGGAAAACTCGTTGTCTGAAGCCGTTCCGCTTCACCAGTACTGTCACCAAACTATCGAATGGCTCACATCGAAAGCGAAAGAAGCTATTTTTGCAGTACTTTTGGCTTTTTGCAGTTTGAATGAAAGCAATGAATTCGCATAATTTAGTACAAGTGGGTGATGAATGATCCATTTATTATTCTCAAATAAGCATTCAAACTGAATTCATGCTTTCGGTTTGGATTCGTTGCAATCAGTGAACGATTTGTTAACAATTTACG